GATTTCTGGTTCTTTAGGTTCTGATGGGTCTGCAGTTCCTCTCCTGATCCATTCATACAGCAGCACACTGCGCCACGATGGAAACTTTTTTTTTAAATTGCCTGTGTTCATTCTCACTAACATTATTCAGCCTAGGATTTGCATCTTCCCTTGCACGTCTGTATCTTTGAGAGGTTTTACTTCTAAGTACGGTGAAGAATCGGGTCGAGGACATTGTAAAAAGACGCGGGTTGATAGCACCTCACCGCGGCTGCGTAGTGTCAGTCCATAGAGTTCTGGGGTCCTGTGTACCTCCCGCCATGACTTTTTAGCTGACCTTAATATTTCCTGCATTTTGTTTTGGTCATTATTGTTAGTTAGTTAGTGTTTATGTGTGTGATAGGCGTGTCTACCGGACATTTAACAGCTAAATACGGGACGATTCCGTATTTTATGGGACGGGTGGCAAGCCTACCCACCACCTTTCTCAGTGAACTTATTGTGTAGTAGGCAAGGCCTCATCCGCCATCTTCTCTCCTTCCTCGACGGGGTGTGTTCCGCAAGCTTTGCTTTCGTGTCGCATTTCTGAATTCCGAGACTGGACTCGTTCCTTCTTATTTTTATCCCCACTCATTCTTCTTGAGAAAAATAAATTTTTAACGCGTTAACACCTTAAATTAGGGGGAGGCTTTTATATCTAACGATGCAGGTCCTCTTTTCTGTGCTGCCATACTAATCGCCATGACACCGGAAGTCAAACCAGAAAGTTTTTATAGAGAAATGTGACATACTAGAACTTAAGTAAAAACAGATTATGGCATGTAGAAGACTTGTACCACCACACTCTCATTTCACTCCGTATTGTTCACCATGGTTGACATTTGTATTGTAACAAACTCTATAGAAGTTGAGAGAAGTAACCATCAATAAAAATGTCTTTATGCTAACACAAATGAAGTGTTAATGCCATGTACTTTAAAACAGTCCCAGTGACTGTTTTCCTGTTGCAGTGGTGAAGCAGACAGCTGCTTCAGGACGAATGGCTCCTCTTATTGATTCCGTCTCCTCTCTTCCAGGAAACTCCCAGCTCTGTGTTCCTGGTCATGGAGGTAAGTTTAGAAACTTGAGTCAGGCTCTGAAAATACTCAAAATTATGTTACCTCAAGCTAGCTTGTGTAAGTCCTCCTCTCTGTCCACTTCCTGGGTCACATTGGCCCCTTGTAAATAAGCAACAACTTTTAAAGGGGTAGTATTATCTTAAATCCACTTTTTTGAGCTTCCCATTATGTTATAATGCTATTCTCTGCTATTCCCAGCAGAGAATAGCTGCTGCAAAACACCTAGGTGAATGTAGCTCCACCTTCGAGATGTAAATCCTCCTCACATTTGCCATTTCCAAGTTTCTGAGCTTCCGCCTCACAGGGAAGCCCTCCCCCGCGATTTCCTCCCTCAGCTCCTTAAGACTAGCCATCAGCAATTAGCAAACACCTGGTGGAACTGCACATCTGCTGGGCTCATTATATGAGCTACTATTCAGTAGCAACATTGTTGAAAGATTATTAGAGGAGCAATGTTGTGATGACTTCACAGAGTTTCAGAAAGTAGGATTGCACCTCTGTCATTTTAAAGACAGAGGTGCAATTTCAAGAAGTTAAATTACAAAATCAAATTGCTTTTAGTCATATTTGATATATACGGCATTTTTATAACAACTAAGTTAAAATAGCTACTTGATTGTGCTATAAAATATATCCGTGGAAGATGCATAATATTGCCCCTTTAAAGCATTCTGAGCTTTAAATACGACCTCCACATGTCACTAGAACGGATCATTAGATTGGAGATGACTAACACATTTCTCAAATTGATGCTGGAGGCCCAATCTTGTGTTGCTGCACATTGCCTCTGATCCAGACTCCTGCTGCTGTCTCTCCATTACAGTTCATTCACAACAGTGTTTACATGTGAAAAATTCCTTGATTGAATTGAAAACAAAAAAAAAAACCCTGAATGTATCATTGTATTGTAGTGCAAAATTAATTAATCCAATCATAACTAAGGTCCAATAGCCAGAGTTGTGTTTCAGGGGTGGAAATAATTAGCCCTTAAGTCTCTTAAGAAGGCGAAAAGCAACAAGCAGCTTCTGAGTATTTCTCTTTTCTCTCAGATCACCTTTTAACATATCAGCCTATTGTGTTCCTCTTCTTAAATAAGGGTAAACGGTTGTCACCAGTAATGAGGCTCCAGACACCCTCTGCATTAATTGATGAGCCTTCTGTTATCAGGGCTAGGACTTGAACATAAGCAGAGACACCCTCCAACATTAACTGTATGTTCTCATGATGACATAGTGCACTCTTCAGCTGACCTATGTTGAATCTGAAATATGAAATATGTTTGAAATATGTTGAATCTATGTTGAAACTATGTGTCTGTTTCCTTCACAGTACTGCAATGGAGGTGATCTTGCTGACTATCTGCAAGGTAAGACTCGCTAATCTGTGTGACATGCACACAGATTATCGTGGATCAAGTTAATAATTCTGCATTGGAGGAAAAGCCATGTGATTGCAGTAGCTGTTTCAAGTGTAGGTGTGTGTGGTGGGCGTGGGGGGATCTTTTGTGAGATGGCTTGTGTATAATTGAGGCGGTGTAAAGAACGTATTTGTACTTGATGCTCTCAACCTCAGAAATTTAAAGGGGCAGTATTATGT